TAAGTATACATTGGCGCCAAAACCACCTTTAGAAAGATTTTAAGGGTTGGTCGGCCGAAAACGGATGTCGTAAATTATACCAAAGGGGGGACTTTTTGATTGGTGAGGGGGTCGAATCCCTGAGGAGGAGAACTTCCGCTCCCTCCCTAAACCCGCCCTTGCTGCAGCTTATAAAACTCGTCCTAACTGTCCGGATGTCTTAATTTTGAAATGACAACTTTTTTGAATTATTTACATCATATTTAAATAAATTATTTGTGTTTTTGTTCGTTGTTTTCAAGTTGTTCTATCATCTTTCAGATCCTGGAGCATCTGGTTAATGTATTTGATAGCTCCAGATAACACCTCTTGCTTCGATGCTTTCCGATTACGAGGTAGCGAAGGAACATGTTTGGCCAGATGCTGCAAAGACCCAGAGTTGTCGACAAGTTCGTCGGGAAAATTTTGTTAAGCAAAACAAGCTTGATGGACTAAATTTTTTTCTAAGAATAACCCCCGACTCACCTTTATTTATTAACACAGAAAACGAAAAAATCTATCTCTGAACCTCGGGAAGCTGATTGTTTGAAGTATTATGATTTAATCTCATTTCTAAAGCAGCGATCTAAAATATTCGAACGATTTTATTTCTGGGCCAAAAACACCAAATTTTCTGCCGATGCCGGTATACTTTTCATCCATCATAATAACAAAAAATTAGAAATTTTATTTGAAAAATCTCGCCAGATGACAACCCTGGAATGCGCGGTCCAGTTGTCGCATGCGATTCCGTTCGCGGGTGGTGGCATTTATGCGTTGCTGTCTCTTCTTCATTTTTATCTTCTCTAGCGGGTTTAGAGTCACGTGATAGTCGGGAAGATGGTTCACAAAATGGCTGGCGTAGGGATTGTAGAGCGCCATGAAATCTGAACAGAAACCAAACTAAACCTACAAAACTCTAAGAAAAAAGCAACTTCATTGAACATATTTTAGGTCATTACAATTGTTATTTTCTGAGTACTATCAAGCTAATTGAGATTTCCCTCAGTTTGAGTAGGGAAAAAGATGTTATAAAATCCAGATATTGAATTAGATATGATAAATATATAGATAGAATAAAGTAACGAATAAATGATTATCGAATCCAGAATTGAATGTATAGTTTTAAAGGTATATTGTTTTCTGACTTGAATTCACACTTAAGGCTCTCGCAAGTGACCGCTTCCAAAACTCAAGTGACAAACGAATTGGCTGGTGAGATTTGTCCTTGAATCAATTTACTGCACTATAAGTAAATAAATAAGATATAGTTAGATAAGACAATACATAAGTAAATAGAATATAATGAGGTACCGAAGGTCGCCTCATGACACTTCCCCCTCTAGAAAAAATTTATCTTAGTATAAATTTTGGATCAGGCAGGAAGATGAGAGAAAATAAGCACCGGAATGGGTAAGAGAATAACCTAGTCAATAGGCTAGTATGGCAGAGTTTACAAAGTTTTTAAAGTTTGTCATGCTCTTCCGTTCTCGTTTTCTTAAACGGAGTAGTTTGCTCCTTAGTCCTAGGAAACGGCACTTTCCGAACAATGGGGGTGAATGGCGTAGTAACTTGGCTGGCGAGTGGCGTAGCAGTTTGATCAGCGTTGTGTCGCTGTGACGAAAACTCCGCAGGGTCCGATTCAGTTACACTCTTAACTGAATGGCGAAGAGGATCTCCGTAAAACCTCGTTGGTTTCTTAGACCGATTAGATGACCGAAACTCGCTTGAAGATTGAGAGGTATGATTGTCAACCTCCGTGTTGCCAGTATTTGCAGAATCCTCTGTCGCAGTCTGAGGGAACTTGTCTGAAGTCTGTTGCAGATCCTGGGGTGGTGTTACCGCCCCTGAAGTAGATGTTAAGCCAGGGTGAGTTGAAGGATCGACAATCGGAGTGGTTGAAGTAGCGATCACGGGAGCCAATCCTTGAGGCGTTGAAACCGGTGCCTCCACTAATTCGAGCTGGGGGCCAGTGATCAATGAGTCCTCGCTCGACGACTCTGCTGTTAAGTCAATCACCTTACCCTTCGAAGGTTCAATTGACTGCCCTGTAGCTGAAGTGGTAGCTGGTTGAGATTGAGGCCGAGGAGCAATTCGTCGTTGCAAACGTTCTCCCACTGTGCCAGGCGTAGCTGAAATCTTAGGGAGATTAAAATTATATCTTAGGCTTATGTGATTTTTCCGATAAACTTTTCCTTTGTCGGTAATGTAAGTATGATCCGTAACACGAGTAATCTTGATTTTTGCTAATTTGAACAGAGGCTTTCCCGAATTTCGATCAAGGACTTTCCGAAAGATTTTGACTCTAAGAGGATCTTGTAAAACTAATTTTTCTAATTTACGTGTTTTTGAGAGTCTTTTAGGCCTCGAAGAGGACGACACGTTCAATCTCTGTGAATGCGAGAGTGCTGGAGCGGACGTATCACGGGCGTTGTCGTAGAAGCGTAGGGTTCCCTCTGTGATCCCTGTCTTGAGCGAGTTTGCAAGGTCGCTATTACGAGCCGCCAATTCACGGAGAAGATTCTGGCCTTGCTGTGGGGGCACATTTCGTTTCCACTGCTTCCAGGTGTTAGCTGCTTTTGCAAGGTTCTCCAGGGCTTTATACGGTTGACTATCCACGATACGCTCACCCACGCCAAAGAGTGGCTTGAACTTAAGTGGGATTTCTGGGCTGTGTGAGGATCCTCTGGGTACCACTTTAGCCCTATCGCGGCTGTAATCCTGGCTTGACCGTTGCTCCGGAGTTAGGAGGTTCCTTTCAAGTCCTTGCGCTGAAGTAGGGGAATGAACAACATTATCACGTGCTAATGAAAACTCAGTATTAGGTTTCCTCCCAAAGTGTAACTCAAACGGAGATACTTTTAACGTAGAATGCTTAGTTTTTCGAATATCGTCGATAATTTGTTGTAAAGTTGACTTCAGATTAGTAAAATTAGGATCTAAATTTTCTGTTCCTAACTTCCGTTTTATGGTCTGGATCGATCTCTCCACCAGCCCACAACTCCGATGATCCCCCACCGCTGTGAGGATGTGTTTAATACCTCTCATTTTGCAAAATTCTTTAACGACGTCAGAATGAAAACCAGATCCGTGATCCGTCCTAATGCTTTCTGGTATGCCATGATTACGAATATATGATCGCAAAAATTTGACTATTTTTTTCGCACTGGTTGATTTAGTTAACATCACCGAGGGAAATTTAGAAAAACGATCTATAGCGACTAAAATGTAGATTTTCCCCTTCTTATCATCTACCAACGGACCCGCGAAATCAAGTTGCAATTCTTGATTCGGGGCTGACAAAGTTGGTAACGGCTTAGCTGAGTTATAGGTCGCAGAAGTTTTGATGTTCTTACCAAAAAGAGTACACTCCGGGCACTTTTCGCAAACGTTGACAATTTGGCGGTTAAGAAATGGCCACCAAATATATTCCGATGCGTCCATCATGGCTGCTTGGCCTGGGTGCGATCGATGCAGTCGGGTCAGGATAGCACTACGTAACTGTTCGGGAATGGCTAGTTTGTTGTCTATCAGTACACAGTTGTTTACTACCGCCGCTTTTGTCCAGAATTGGGCCATGTAGGTCCCCAGTTTGTTAAAGGATTGTACATCCTTATTAATTATTGCAGTCCTCATCGGTCCGAGGAACGGGTCTTCCCCTGTCAGTTCTCCCAGCAGATCCACATCAAATAGTCCTGGCAATCCGACCACCTTCTTCTTGTCCTGAGTAACTAGCGGTTTGTGGTTGTTGATAGCATTAACCCCCATTCGAAGTACATTTCCTCTTCTGGCCCGCCTTGTCAACCGCTGCCTCCGACACTTATCCAGGAACTGAGTGAGGGCCTTTTGCGTAGTCTGTCCTCTAGTGACCACGAATCGTTCTCGAGAATGTCTCAGTCGGGCAATGTTCCGGGAACGTATTTGATCAATACGGCTCGGGCGATCCAGAGGGCGAATTGTAGACATCTTAGGTCTTATTTGACTGGAGGTGCGAAAGTTAGGGGAACTTGTAGAAAAGTTCTCGACAAAATTAAGGAGATTTGTTTGTTCAATCGTAGTATTTACAAAGTCAACAGTATTAGTAGAGTTATTTAGAGTAGAGTTAAGAGTAGTATTTTGAGAGAGATTATTTGAAGTATCCATATCGTAACTGATTTCTAAGTTGTAAGGTCGGGGACAATGAGTTTGAGCCAAAACTTTTGGTTTAGCGTATCTCATTTGCATACTGTGCTGTGATTGGTCGAGAGTACCAGAGCATGAAACGTCGACCTCTCGCGGCGATGTTAAATGCTCACGTTTTTGCATACGAGAATATGATTGGCTGGTTGACTGAGAGCATGAACTGACGCCCTCTAGTGGCGAGAAGTAACGATGATTAATTTGCATATCCTTTTGGGATTGGTTGACAGATTGAGTACAGTTTGTGACGCCCTCATGCGGCAACGAACTGAACTGTTTGAAACAGTATGATTGGTCAGATGAATCGAACGTTGATTGGTCTGTTGTATGAGTTAAGAGGTAGCTAATGTTGCCTCCAATTTCACCAAGCGATCTGATTGGTCGGAACTCGTTATACTGTGAAATATGCCCCACCGGCACTATTTGAGGTTTAGACCGAGTACTAATCGAATTTAAAGCATTATGAAAAGCTTGAATAGATTTAATGACGAATAATTCGTCATGCGACGATGGCAACGGTGCTTCAAAAGTCGGGTATCTAGACAAATAGTCGACGATGCCTAGAGAAGAACCGGGTATATGTTCAATGTGATAATCGAACGGAATGAGGCGGTCCGCCCAGCGAGAGAGTCGTGACTGATAAGATTTTTTACCATACGTTTCATTGAGGGCGGAAATGATGGCCTTATGATCGGTCAGAATAACAAATCGTGTACCAAGTAAATAGGTACGGAAATGCTCGCACGACCATACAATAGCCAGAAGCTCTAACTCATTGGTACTATACTTGATTTCCGCGGAGTTTAGAAACCTAGAAGCAAACGCAATCGGGGCCCAAACATTTGGCTCGACTTCTTGTTCCAAACAGGCCCCCAGCCCGCTATGACTGGCATCGCATTTAAGACGTGAAGCTTTCGAAGCATCGTAGTGAAACAAATTAGGGATGTTTGCGATGAGGTTTAAGATCTTTTGAAACGCAATAGTTTGCTCTTCCCCCCACAGAAAGGATTTCTTATTCTCCGCTTTTAGCGAAGCTCTAAATGCGACTGTGTATTTGTGCAAATCCGGTATGAAGCGTTGGAGATGATTGAGTGTACCCATAAACGATCTCAACTGTTTAAGAGTTTTGGGTGGCAACAGGGATTTGATTGCCTCTATTTTTGAGAATTTCGGGGCGTAACCGTTTTCATCGATTTCGTACCCTAACCAGACTAGTTTATTAACTGAAAACTCACATTTACTAAGTTTCAACGCCCATCCTTCTTCATCCAATCGACTCATGACTCTTTCGACTAGTACATTATGGTCTTCAACTCTTCCTTTAGTGACAACCAGTATATCATCAAGGTAACATATGACACCCTCTAATCCTTGTAACGTACAGTCCATCGCTTTCTGAAATTCCGTAGGCATGTCCGTCAGTCCGTAGAAACCAGTCTTGAATCGATATGTGCCTGTTGCCTCTCCGCACAAAATACTAAAGTTACAATGACTACTGGTTAGTTCCGATAAAGGTAATTGACTGAAAGCGTATTTAAGGTCAAGAGAAGTAAACCACACCTCCCCAGGTGTGTCTTTAGTTATAATTTGAGCCGCCGAGTCAATCAATTCATGCATATTAGGCATTTGATATTTGTTTTGCCAGATTTGGGCATTCATAGGTTTAGCATTCAGTGCGAGTTTTATAGACCCATCTTTCTTTGCTGTTAGGACTATGGGTGCAATGAAATGATCCGTTGTACACTTTTCTAACTTTTCAATGTGCTTGTCTTTAATCAACTTTTTGATCTCAGCCGTGACCCGATCTTGCAAATGTATAGGGACTTTTCGGCCTTTAACTTGTCTGGGCACCAACGGGTCTTTAAAATTTGTGAATACTTTATGGTTTTTAGACCTCCCCAGTCTGCTGAATACATTAGGGTACCTGTTGACAAAGTGGTTCCTCCAGAATTTTGAGGTCGGATCCAATTCCTCATCTTCCTCGGCGTAACTAACTTCTGCCGGTCTGCGTTGCACCGTTTCAATTCCTAACTTCTCATGAAGGTTCAAACCAAGTAAGTTTCGGGTACGATTTTCGGAAACCAAGAAACACGCCTTATCAATCTTCCATCCCTTCGATGCAATAGGGATTTCCAGAGAACCAAACAGTTTAATTGGTTTCTTGTTATAATCGACATAAGTAACATCTAAAGGATGTCTCGCGATGTCCTTAAATTTAATGTTGGGGATCCGCTTCATGAGTATATCCGCCGTCTTCTTGTTTAAAAAGGATACGGGACTTCCAGTGTCCACCGTGGAATAGAAAAAGGAGTTGCCGGATCGTAACTGAATGCTGAGGCTTCTTGGTTGTCCTCCCGCTGTCTTTAGAAGCTCCAAATTGTTAATCTGCACAACGTCTACTGCCATGACCCCATATTCCGGCTCGCTGTCACCGTTTACGTCAATTAGATTACACTCTTGATCTGTAGGCGTCTCGTCGTTTTGTATCATGTTAACGCGTCGTCTCGTAGTGTTACACACCTTCGCAAAATGACCCTTCTTTTTGCAAGCATTACAAGTAGCTTCTCGAGCCGGGCATGACCGGCGATGTTCTAAAGAAAACGGGTTGCCACAAAAATAGCATGGTTTGTTTTGATTTTGTCGTTGGTTAGGACGAGATACACCACCTCCCCGGCTGCTATTTCCTTGATTCTTAAATTGTTGTACTGACGAAGTTGGTTCCTGTTTGACTCGAATAGAGTTTGTAGAATTGAAAGTAGCGTTATTATGCGGGAGCAATTTCTGAAATTGTTCTGATGTTTTAGCCCCTTTCTCGTTTTCCAAAGCCAGTTGTAGAGTATCATCAAGATTAGCTTTTGCTCTGATTAGTTGCCTCTGAACTTCCACATCGCGAATGCGGCCAATGAACAAATCTTTCAATGTTGCTCTTTCCTGATCGATCGGCCAGTTACATAACGCGGTTTGAGCGCTAAGTCGGGCATAGAATGACGAGAATGAGTCATTATCCTGCATGAATATAGTATTGTATAGCTTAATCCTTTCGACTGTGTAGTCACGCTCTGCCTTGAAGACATCCTCACAACACTTATGAAAATCTCTGAACGAGCTAGTATTGAGATCCAAATGAGGGTAGGAATCCAAAAATCGTTTTTTCCCCTCGTTTCCCAGAGCGAAGAAAAGTCGCGATTTCAACCGCGCCTCTGCCTCATGGTAACACCAGTTATTTCCAATGCGAGGTCCTTTTCGTCTCCTGTCTTGATTGTACTCGTCGATTCTTCTATTAGCTGCTGCAATTCGGAGGTTCCTATCGGCCAACTCTGCGGCATTTTCATCTGCACTCGGTGCTTCGGGCTTTGGGTAAGGTTCATCCACTAACTCTGCTGGGGCAACTAGTAACTCCCCCGGTGAGATGTTATCTTTGAGACTCACCGCCAAAAAAAATTGTCCCACCCACGTCTCCCAAATGAAAGGTGGGTTAACCGATGTTCTTGCCCAAAAGGGTGGTATTCCGAGTAGGTCAGTCCTGTCTTCATTCACAGGAACTGCTGGCTGCGCCATGAGATTTCCCTCAGTTTGAGTAGGGAAAAAGATGTTATAAAATCCAGATATTGAATTAGATATGATAAATATATAGATAGATTAAAGTAACGAATAAATGATTATCGAATCCAGAATTGAATGTATAGTTTTAAAGGTATATTGTTTTCTGACTTGAATTCACACTTAAGGCTCTCGCAAGTGACCGCTTCCAAAACTCAAGTGACAAACGAATTGGCTGGTGAGATTTGTCCTTGAATCAATTTACTGCACTATAAGTAAATAAATAAGATATAGTTAGATAAGACAATACATAAGTAAATAGAATATAATGAGGTACCGAAGGTCGCCTCATGACACTAATAAGAAGGATATTCGGCTGCTGCGCAAGAAGTAGAGATAATTTTGACCTCAGCTATCTCAAAAGAAGACGATGTCTCAATTTCTTCCAAAGTAATGATCTTTCGTCAGAAAAGTATCAAGTTTTCTCTTAAACTGAAGTGCTAGTGTGGGTCGATAAAATGAGAAAAGTCTATTTCAAAGATAAAAAACTTTGAATGAATCTTTTTTCATGATCTCTTTACCTCTAGTTGTTACTGGGATTTTATATCATAACACACTTGACACCCTAGGAGCTTCCTTTCGGAAACAAGAAATCAAGCGGATAATTTGTGAGAACACTGACCACTTAGCACGTTACGTTACCTGTTGATTGCTGAGCTGCCGAGTCAACACTTTCACTATAAATGGTCATCATTTGCGGTTCCAGGGCAGCACTGGAAAACATCGAATCGTTTTCACCTGCCGAGAAAACTCCGTATGTTGGATAATGCTCAACAATGTGGCAGTCTTCCACAGCATTATCTTGTGGCAGTTTCGATTGCTGGTAGAAAAACTCAGTTTCATCGTAGTTAGAGAAGCTAAAACAAAATTTAGTTACCTAAGGTCGTTTGAGATATCACGAATCATTTTCGGTTCAACTCATCAAACCCAGCTGCCAAGAAAAAGCTAGATCGGCCCCTGTGGACACCTATCATTAAAACATGGATAACTTTCGATCTTTTTCTCCCATATAATGTAACAAGACTGATTAAAACCTAGTTTTGTTTACAAGACTGCTCGCGCCCTGAACGCTCCGCCAGCGCTCTAACACCCATGAAGTAGATTTTGCATTAGATGAAAAAAAAAACGGATAACAAGGATGGCGGGTTGTTGTGACAGTCGAACAATGTTCTGAACACAACGATTCAAGTTAGGAAAATCAAAGCATAGCCAACAGAGAGTAAGAAGTGTCGTTGACCGTAAGGAAACAGAAAAAAAACGATATTAAGAATTTATGATTGACACTTTTTGATAAAATTTACCTTATGAGGATACTGGATCAATTGGTAAATTTATCATTCCACTGGAAAATCTGTAAGTTAAAATCCTGGACTCTACAATTTTGCTGTTCGATATTGGAGTTTGCTTTCCTTTTGACAACTTGAAATGAACTGAACTCAAAAAACCAAAAGCCAAACCACGAAAAATTAAATTTGAGAAAAAACCGATGTTAACTTTTTTCTAAAAAAAATCAATTAAAAAATACTTAGGCCTATAGCTTCTAACAAATTTATCGGACCACGTATTGAAAATCTGAAATAATTCTGCTTCAAATTTAAACTAAAGCGAAATACTTCTCCGAAGTTTCGCTTTTGCCTTTTTGTCGACTTTTGATGTTTTTTTGCTCTGAAAAATTGCATGGCAAATCGTTCTTGAATGAAAACGTTTTTTTTTAATTGTAAATAGGCAAAACTGAAATTCTCCGAAAAAGCACAATCAGTTTGCCTTGCGCTTTGGACAGTTCAAATGCAGTCTTGAAAATTTGATTGCAGTTTTAACGCCATTTCAGTCTCAAGTTCATAAATATTTCAAAAATTTAACACGCTGTCCGATAAATTTCTTAAAAGCTATATATAAAACAGACATTGTTGATCGAGTTTTAAAAAGATAGTTCTCATTAGTTCTTAGACTAACCAGTTCTCAACAGCTTTGTCGTCCAACAATCTCCAGTATGCGAATTCGTTCACATTTGAATCCGCCGAACATGCGCTGTTCCTGCTACTCACCCCAACGATATCTCCCACAATTTCGCTCACAGATGGCAAAAAATACTCACCCTCAATTGATTCGGGGTAAAATATATCACAATTCATTGGTTATATTGGGCGAACGGTCTATCACAAATTTTTGGAGCGTTCTTAACGAACCGCTTTTGCAAAGTTTTTGATTTTTTTTCTAATTTATTTTGTTGGTTGAATCTGAATTGCTGATAGCACTTTAATCATAATTTGCTCACGACAGACGTTGGTGTTGATTTTACGGGAATAAAATGTTTTCCCATTCTGTTTGCTCTGTTATAAAACTCAAGTCTTTGAGACCTACTTTTTTACTGTTTAATAACTTACTACTTTTTGTGATGTATTTCAAAATCACTCCCGGTGTTGAATGTATAAATTATGAACTTGATTTAATTTAAAAGGAAAAATGAAAATCACAATCTTGATATCTTTAAAATCCGCCCTGTACAATTGACTAACTATGAAACCAACTTAGACTGCCTCACAATATCATTTCTGGAGACGATTCATTCACCAATCATGTCTGATTTATTGGTTCAGCTTAAAACCTCTACACCTAGAAACGAATGTCACTAACTTAGGTTGAGTAGCAGTTCCTTCGAGCAATCAAAGTGGAAAAATTGAATTCTTTCACCTTCAAAACAATTCTTAACTTTTCAGAACAAAAATCATGTCATACAATGCTCAGCAAGTGTAACTTTTTGACAAATATAACAAATCAAAGTTAACATAATTTCAATAATAATTTTATAACCCGAGAATCAAACACAATAACAGATGATTTCAACTGCGAAGAGGTAATTTTACATCTTATTTTTATCAAGAAAATCAATATAACAGCCTCGGGCTATATATTGCCCTCAATACATTCTTTTCATTCAACATTCAATGAAATTACATATCAACAATTTTGAAGTTTAAATTCAATTTTGAAGTTTTCAGTCCGAATGCCAAGTTAAAGCAATACCAAAAAAGGAATCTAAAAAGTTCTTAAAGCGAATTTCTAACTTTTTGAGTTGGAAATTTTTATTTAGAAAAATAAGATTCGGAAATTTTGATACTGCTTTATGAGCACTCAAGTCAGATGTGTTTTATTGAAATCTTCAAAAGAAACCCTTTTCATGGACTTCGCACATAGCAGCACAGTCTCTCGCCTCCGATAACGTAAGCAGATGCCAGTTTTTGGAACCTGTCCGCTTCTGAGAAGTCGCCAAAGGAGACTAGAGCAGAGCCGAATCGGGGACGGAAGCGGAAGCCAGTGTAGTCAACTCCGGAGTTTTTAAGCATGTTCTTCAAATCACCCTAGGGAACCAAAAAGATGATTTTGTAGTTACATTGCCCTGAAACTTTCCGTTGAATAATAATGCATAAAATCTTGCGCAGAAAATTACTATTTATTTGTCTCAAAAAAGCACAGCTTCGGCGATGCCAAGCATAGAACTGATTCAAACCATTTTTGGGGAAACATGCAATTAGATAATGAAAAGTTTAAGTTATGGCCAGAATAAATCATCCATATAAGCCATTTCTCATTTTTACGCCTTTTCAAAAGATAGAAAATCTGATTCAAATTGTAGAGACAAAACCCGTTCGAGTAAGAAACCTTAACTCATAGAAAAAGAGAAACAATTGATACCCGAAAAGAAAAAAAAGCCCATAGACAGTTGGAAAATTGATCGCAATGAAAAAAGCAATTAAATATAATGCTGAATCAACTTTCGCATCTCAAAGCAAAATAAATCTGAAAACAAGCGGGGATTTAAGTGAAGAAGAATTAAATCATAAAAAATTAACTCTATAAAACTATTTTTCAGCCACTGTAACCCTTCATATTTATCATACCTTAAACATTATTGCCCTCAACTTTAAGCAACTTTCTCCACAGTAGACGAAAATCAATTCAACTGCAGAAATCTTACCAAGAGTCAAGAATATGCAAATTAAAGTTCCAACTTTTTTCAAACTTTCCAATCATATCCTTGATTTATTTAAAATCGAACCCACCGTACCCTGTGTATGGAACAAAAATATAATGCGTATGAGATGCCAAGTTATTTTAAATGAATGCATCATTGATTTATATTTAAGTGATCTAGAAAAAACATGTTTGGTATTCATTTTTGTTGAAAATAAATATTGTTCTATTACTATGTTACTGGTCATTTGGGATACTGGATCTTGTTAACTATTCCCATATTGCAAAAAGGGAAGATTCACTGGAGAAACAAAATTCACATATCCTTAACCGTTGAATTAGTTCTTTATAGGTGAAATTCGTTACTAGATAGCAAGGGAGATGGAGGAAGAGGGGTCCATAGTTGACCAGATCCGGAATTGATTTTAACAATCACCTTGTGATCCCTTTTTCTATTTCCGTATGGAAAAAATCAATCTTAACACCAGTCTGTTTCACAATCTGATTACATCAATACTGGTACAAAAATACAAATTGTTCGGACCATTGAAAATGGAGCGGAACTTTGTATTCGGGTGTGTTTTAGTTTTCCACGCAAAATCAGGTACCACAAATAATGATCGAACTGGGTTGAGTGTTATATCATTTTAAAGCCCTTCCAGTCGTGAATTTAACATATAAAAAAAATTTGAATCGAGATAAACCGGTTTGAAATTTTTGATTTTTGGTCCAATTCCGAGCTAATAAGGTGACCGGGTACGCTTACAATAGATTATTTAAGCTTAATTTCAGAGGTGAAAAATGAGTTTTGACAAACATTTTTTATGAAGTTAAAAGAGCTGTAAGGGCATACATTTTTTTGTTTCCTTGGGAAGAGCAAAGGAAAGGTAGTTTTTGGAGTTTAAGCGCAAATTTTGGAATCAAAAACTTGAAAATTCAAAAAAATTTCTTCAGGTCATTTGTCATCAAAAACTGTTTTCCAATGGATTTATTTTACAATGACTCTCAAAGATGCCTAAATTCTATTTTTTCTTTCAGATCTTTTTATCACAACATGCAGAAAAAAAAACGACACAAATTTGAACATTTTTTTTTGTATTTTTTTAAAAGACTGTGGTCGGAACATTCTATGCTGCTTGCACAGTAACCGGCTATACGTGTTACCTATTGCTATCTGCAAAATCGACTTCTGAGCATTATTCACACAATCCCAAAAACATAGCCAAATGAGAGATGGAAAATAATAATGAACCCAAGGAAACAAAAAAATGTATGCCCTTACAGCTCTTTGAATTTAATGAAAAATGTTTGTTTGGTGCTTTTTAGATTAAATTAACCCAATTTGAAAAACTGGATCAATTAGCTAATTTTCGACTGCGTTCATTACTCTTAAAAAGCAAGTTGAAGACAGCAGCAAAAGTTGAAGAATACGTTCATTACTCTTAACAAGCAAGTTGAAAACAGCAGCAAAATTTAACTGGCCATTTACCTACATCAGCCTCTAAGCAGACACCTTGTAAGCAGGAAAAAATCACAAAAAAAATCATGTAAAAGCAATCCGCCAGCTGGGAATTGGAATACATGGAACACGAATAGCCGGTTGCTGTGCAAATAGCACAGATTATTCCGAGCACATTCAAATAAGTGGAATTTTTGAGCGTGATGAGAAAGAAAGCCCAGATTTTCGGCATATTTTTTGTATCGTAAATAGACATATTCGACAAAAGTTTCCTTCGTAAAATGGTTAGGAAAACAAAAAATTACAATTTTTTTTAAATTACAAGATGGCGCTAAAAACCTTCCATTTAAATGGAACAAAAACTATGATTTTAGGGATTGAATAAAACTTTCATTGCTTATCCTTCTATAAGCCTTCTCGATACTCTTTCTCTAAGAAATTTGACATAGTAAAAAAATTCAAAAAGGCTTTTCTAGACACATAAATCTTTTTAAAAACTTTTAAGGTCGTTCGAATCAAGACTTTAAGGGTTCTGATATGATATAACACTCAATCTCTTCCGATGATTTTTTGTGGTACCTGATTTTATGTAAATACAAAAAAAAACACTCGAAGACAATGGTCGGAACAATAAGAGAAGTAAAAGTATTGAAGAACAAAGCCAACTTACGAGTTTTAAAGAAAAAATAGATGCCCCTCAAGCTGTTTGAATTTCCAAAACAATTTACGATTGATAACTTTTTAACTAAATAAACCCAATTTGAAAAATTGGATCAATAGTCAAATTTTGTATTCCGCTGGGAAGTCTGAAAAATAAATTCCCTTTTCGAAACTAGAAGTCGATCACGTTTATCGTGATTTTACACTTTCGATGTTCGATAGTGGAGGTTGCCTTCCTTTCAACGGAGAAAAAGAACTGAACTTGAAAAAAATGATAAGTCAAACCGTGAAAAGTAAACTCGAGCCTGAACAAATTTTACTTTTCCTGAAAAAAAAACGAAAAAAAAAAACATCAGCATCTATATAATAGTCTGAACTACGTTCATTGGCTCCTAAAAAAGACACATGAAAACTGTTTCAGCGAGACAAGTTACTCGAGGAAAAAATAGTAACCACTTTGATAAGCTTTCCAATAGCAAGTTTAAAAACCGATCCTTTTCAATCACATTCGCTCGATGTTTTTCAATTTGCAATTCAGTTTCTATCAATATCAAATAAATTGACATGAAAGGCAGTGAACCGTGAAAAAGTTAATTTTAGCCTGAACAAATTTTACTTTTCCTGAGAAAATAAAGCGAAAAAAATCATCAGTAACTATATACGAGTCTGAACTACGTTCATTGGCTCTTAATAAAAGACGCATGAAAACTGTTTCAGCAAGACAAGTTGCTCGAGGAAAAAATAGTAACCACTATGATAAACTTTCCAATAGCAAGTTTAAAAACCGATCCTGAAATTTCAATCACATTCGCTCGATTGTTTTCAATTTGTCTAATTCAGTTTCTGTCAAATAAATTGACACGAAAGGCATTTTTAAAATCCTTACAAGTGTACTTTGAGCCCTGGGCAAGTTTTCCACCAAGCAGGTGAATCCCGCCAAAATGTCTCTTCCTTCATCTTCAGGAGCAGATCGGGAAGTCTCTCCGCTCACAGACTCCGAAAAGGCACTCAGATAGCTCATTCTACTTTGCATGCTTTCATCTTGGCCCACTGAACACACAGAATTCGCCCTTTGTTGCCTAATAGTGGCATCTTTCATTTCGTGCAGATATCTTAATTGTTTATTCGACCGTTCTTCCAAACTTTCTGGCTCTCGCTTGACCCGACTTCCTCCCATAAATGGCACAGAAGACGCATCATCATATCCATACCGCGATCTGATAACATCATCTCTCGACATTTGAGACAAAGTATTGCGCATCTCTCGATTGTTCAATGGTGCCCGCATGAAGTCGTAACTTCTCGAGCTAGAATTACCTCTATTGTCGTTAAAAGAGTAGCCAGAATCAGGTGGCAAAGGCTGGGTAGAGAGCTGAAACAATTTCCAATTATCTATCAACTAGACGATTGAATTTTAGGCAAGACGCCAATAATCAGACTCCCAACTAAATTTGACCGAGTGAAACACCTCACAGAGTTGAGAGTGAATACAACAGGCTTGGCAAGGCTATTGAACGCTGTTTAAACGGCGGAGTATATAAGAAAGGGTCTAAGTTAAGTCCGAGATTTTTGAGTTTGTGATCTAGGGTTAAAATCGGCTTCAGTAAATTTACTTACTACCGATGCGCCTTACGTACCGAACCTTCTTTAGAAAGGCTTTTCAACATAAACATCAAGTAAAAAGTATCAGAGAAAGTTGACTTACACTCGCTAAAGCACTTCTGTCGTTTCTCGAAAACTCTCGTCCAAAAGAGTTGCGCGGTTCATTTTCGTTCATTTTGCAGTACGGCGATTGTGCTTGATTTTGAGCGTAAGCAGATTGACAACTTGCGCTTCTTGAAGCGCAACTGCTATCATTTCTCCTAATGTTATGCTGGTTCTGTTCTCTGAATTGCTCAGATTCGTTTAAATATGCAGGATTCTGCCGCTCCTTTTCAAGTGGAGAAAGACCTAGAAAAATCAGTTGAGCTGTCATCTTTTGCAATCCAAAAGGTATTAAAAATTGAATGAAGAAAGGAATGACATTTCAAGAGATCAAATGATCTCAATGAAGCCAAAGCTCAAACAATTTCAGAAGGTTAGCTTAATAAGTATAATTTTTCTCCAATTTTCACAGTTTATCAGGGCTCTCAGACTATTATTTAATCGCTGATCTAAGTTCAAATGAAATTACAATTTACTCGCGAATATAAAATCACCAGAAAATCTGAAGGCCGTTCATCTGCTGATTTTTACTCAATTTGACCTACCTTGCTCGAACGACAGCTTCAACTTTTAAACTGATACTGTGATTACGGGCAATTCTATTAACTTTTCTGTACCAGATAGCAATTTGAGAGGAAAGAGTATAGAAATTTAGAACAGAATGTGAAACACACACCATCAGTTTCCTCCCAACACGCGTATATAGGCACTCGGCGCACAATACGCCTAGGAGCAGCTAAGAGAAATGACAAAAGAGTGTATAACACTAATATCAATGTAAAATGATGCGCACTCTCCAAATTTTGTTTATTCTCTCCGAAGGCTCTTTTAGAAATATCTTGGTAAAAGTTGAAATAGTTCCAAAAGAGGGCTTTGGACGTTCAGAGGATCGAGTCCCTGAGGTGGCTCGCCTACCTTTTCCCAACCTAAGCCAGCCCCTGGTCTTTTTATTTCAAAACTTAAGATGTTAACACAGAGGTGAAGCGGAGCTTCGCATCACATGCGATACAACACAAACGAGAAAAAATGCAAATACATGCGATACAACGCAATACAATAAATCCTTGAAACTACAATGAACAAGACTTGCACTTGCAAGTACAATGAAAATTGCTTGCAGCACAAGAAAAATCTGTGATGTGGCAGCGAAGCCCACAATCTTTAAGCAGACACCAGTTGAGCCAAAAAACTTATTTTAGTTAAAAGATTTTAAAGTATTTAAAAAATTTCAAAGTTCCCCCTGAAAATACATTGAATAAAACTTGCAATGACAATGAGGGTTGCTTGCAGCATAAGCGAAATCCGTGACGTGGTAACTAAGCCGACAAAACTTATACGAAAGTCCGACAATTCAATTTTTACCGGAAAAACTTCAATTGCATACAGACTGAAAAAAACCATGGTCCGGCCGGGTCTCAAACGCCCGAACTTCGGGTGCAAAGGCGACGGCGTAACCTCTAGACCACGTAGGAAAGCTCATGGAAATTGTTAAGCTTCAATAATAAAACAAATTAAAAAAGCAAAATTTGTAAGGAAATTTGTTAACGGGAAAAAAGCCTATTTCCCGATTGCAAGACACTTGCTCTGGCAAATTTAATTAAATTCCACTTTCGAAAAGATGATCTCTGCACAGAACTCGAACTTGTCTTTTTTTTTAGAAGAAGCTATGTGTCTGGTTCTATCGTTTCAAGCCATTTTAAAGTCACTAAAGAAAGCTTGTAGGGCAATGTTTGTAGTTTAATTAATATTCTGTCGTGATTTCAGAAAAGCTCTTCATCGTCGAGGAAAATTGGTCGGACGATTTTAGTTTTTCAGACTTATCAAAAGAACTTCTTATTACTCATTCTTATTAAGATAGCCGGTTGCTGTGCAAGCATCACAGAATGTTCCCACCACGGTTATAATTGCAAAGAAAAACATAGCCAACAGACAGCTGGAAGAAGTTAATGAGTTCAACTAAACTTAAAAAAATTTCAGCTTTCGAAATTCGAAAAAAAATACATGATATTAAAGCTCTTTCTATTTCGAGAACAACTTATGATTGGCACTTTCTTGATAAAAATCAACCCAATGAAAGAAAACTGGATCAATCAAACAAATTTTATTTCGCTGGGAAATCTGAAAAAGAAAATCCACTTTCGAAACTAAAAATCGATTACATTTTTCGTGGCCTTCACATTTTTGCTGTTCGATAGTGGATTTTGCCTTCCTTTCAACAAAGAAAATGAGCTAAGATTAAAAAGATCAAAAGTCAAACCGCAACAAAATAAATTAGAGCCTGAAAAAATTTTAAGACTTTTCCTTAAAAGAAAAATAATCCCGACCTAAATAAGAATCTAAACTACGTTCAGCGACTCTTAAGCATTGTATCAATAAAATAAACATTTATTCCGCTGGGAAGTCTGAAAAATAAAATCTACTTTGTTATACTAATGTGTGATGACCATAGTTGTTTCTCTACTAAAATAAAAGAGACGGGCGAAAATTTATGAGAAAATGAAATCTTCCCGAAGACATAACATTTTTCGTTTGAAAATTAAAAAGACGCCGCTTCTACAGGAAAGATTATGGCAGCTGGTTCATTCGATAGAACCCCAGGGTATTTTATAAGAAAAGTTAAGAAGTTTCTAAAAAACGGTAAAAAGTTCAAATTTGACTTTCCAAAAACATTTTTTTTTCTGCAAAAAGAAGGTAGTAGTTGCGTTAGCAGAGAAGACTTCTGAACCCCAATTTCTCGATTGACCAAATAAATTTAAGAATTGGCAGGGTAGTTTTCGAGAAAAGTCAAAAAATTTCCAAAAAATTCCGAGAATCATAGCCTTAATTGTGAAAAACTTTGGGCGTAGCCGCTTATACAAAGACATTCACACAACCTGTTATTTCAATTGAACGCAAAAACTCAGATTGCAGAGGGTAGTTTTCGATAAAAAAGTCAATTACTTTTAAAAAACGGTAAAAAAATTTTTTGTCTATTCCGAGGGCCCTAATTTCGTGTTAGAAAAAATTGGGCTCAGTTGATTATGCATGGACGCTTTCCACATCAGGTTGTTTCGATTGAAACCAAAAAAAATCAGATTTGGGAGTAGTTTTTGAGAAGCAAAAAAAATTCAAAAACGGTCGTAAAATCAAAAAATTTTGACTTATCCAAGGTCCATAACTTTTTGTATAAAAAATTTGGTCGTATCCAAATATTGAGAGAATTTTCCCAAAGCGTTTTTAAGGTTGAACCAAATATTTCAGAATTGGGCGGGTACTTTTCGAGAAAGGTCAAAAAGGATCAAAAATGGTCAAAAATCAAATATTTGTTCAGTCCGAGGTCCCTAAATTTTGATCATGTAGGGGCACTTCCCACGACCAGTTCTTTTAATTGAATCTTAAAAACTCACGTTCTATTCGAAATTATCATAAGACAAGCAATTTAAAAATATATATGTAAAAAAAATTTAATACAAACATTGCACCCAGAATTTAAGCATGTCAGCAGGCATGAGCATGATACAAGATCATATTAGCAATTGATTCAACTGATTTCGTTAAACTAGTTGTTAACCCGAAAAGTCTAAATTCCGAATTGATAACGCTGGCTAATAAGTCTTTTCAGTACATTCGTTGACACTTAGGCAAACTGAGAGAACCTATTCAGGGTGGCCACAGTGTCTGAGAAATGGCAGGCACTGATGAAAATAAATGCCAGGAACTGACATCTTTTTTTGAAAAAGTAGCCTTTTTTTACTCCACTTTTCTTCATTGGTCCAATTTTTTTTGATCCCACTAATTATTTATTCTCAAAGCTGCTCATAATACCTGAAAAAAACGTATACTGTGTAAGCCTGCTTAATTTTTGATTTTGAACGATTCAGTAAAGCGCGATGAAAAAAACTGGCACTGATATTCATTTGCTGGCACAGACAGATCACGCTTCGCACTGATGTAGCACTAACCGCACTGATACCATGGCCACCCTGCTATTGTTCACAGAAGGATATAGGATTTTTTAAAGAGAAGGGGCGGATTTCAAAATTAATTTAGATTGCCCGAACTTCGTTTCCGAGCTCAATGCCTAAAAAATCAATTGAGCAATAAAAAAATTAACTCACCGCACGCATTTTTGAAAAATAGACAAAAATCCCCCCCCCCCCCCAAAAAAAAATCCCTATTGTTACTAACATTGATTAGCAATCAATTGGCAATCGCGATTTGCATGTCCAGAGACGCTGTTGTGTTCGCTCAGTGCCAGTTGCTGTGCCTTCATCATGGCTTCTACTCTCTGCTGAGACTGTGGACTGGAACCGTACTCTTCTAAAACAATCACATACAGTCTACTTCTAGACAGGTAAATAAAAAGATAGCACCCCAAAAACAATTTCTTTAATGCAAGTTTTTCATAATGATTGTCAAAATGCTTGTCGAAATCTTTGGGTCAATTAATAATTATCCTACTTCGACCACAACCAAGTAATTTTTTCTCAAAATGCCCTTTTTATTGAAGAAATATTAATGATTTATGTCGAGATAGTTAACAGATGTGAAATTAGTTCGAAACCCTTTTTCTCAAAATGCCCTTTTTATTGAAGAAATATTAATGATGTATGTCGAGATAGTTAACAGATGTGAAATTAGTTCGAAACCCCAACCTTACAAAACTTTTTTTTTGTGTTCGTGCGCAAAATTTTTCTGGTTATATTCCACAAAATTGTACACAGTATCACAAATAAAATCGGGTACCACAAATAATGATCGGACTCGGTTGAGTGTTGTATCATAGTAAATCCCTTTCAGTCGTGATTTAAAACACATAACGAAAATTTTCAGTGTCGAGATGAACCTGTTTGAAATTTTTAATTTTTTGGTCTAATTTCGAGTTAACAAGGTGACCGGGTACGCTTACAATAGCTTATTTAAGCTTAATTTTAGAGGCGAACACTTAGTTTTTTTCCAAGTAAAGGTAGTTTTTGGAGTTTTTTAGCGCAATTTTTTTAGCGGCACGAATTTGAACGTTTTTTTATTTTCTTAAAAAATTTGGTCGGAACTTTCTGTGCTGCTTGCACACTAATCGTCAGCAATATCGAGTTCTGAGCATGGTTCACACAATCCGTAGCACAAAGCCAACTGAGAGTTGGAAAAGAATAATGAACCCAAGGAAACAGAAAAAAAAACTGACTTGTTTTTTGAAAAAACTTTTGCATGTTAAGAAAAAACGTATGCCCTTACAGCTCTTTGAATTTCATAAACAATTACTAACATTAGCCTCTAAGCAAACGCCATTTAAGCAGGAAAAAATCACAAAAAATATCATGAAAAAGCAACCCGCCGCCAGCTGGCAATTGGAATACATGGAACACCAATAGCCGGTTGCTGTGCAAATAGCACAGATTATTCCGACCATATTCAAATGAGTGTAATTTTTGAGCGTGGTGAGAAAGAAAGCCCAGATTTCCGGCATATTCGTTGCATCGTAAATAAACAATCGACAAAACGATTAGAACATAATTCGAAAAATTATTAGAAAAACAAAACATTTCCGGCATATTCGTTGCATCGTAAATAAACATAATCGACAAAACGATTAGAACATAAGTCGAAAAATGATTGAAAAAACAAAACATTATATATTTTAATTACAAGATGGCGCTAAGAACCTTCAATTTCAATGGAACAAAAACTATGATCTTAGGGATCAAAAAAAAACTTTCATTGCTTATCCTTCTATAACAAGCCTTCTCGATACTCTTTTTCTTAGAAATTGGACGAAGTAAAAATTCAAATAGGCTTTTCTCGACACTGAAAGAAAACTTTTAAGAAATTATTAAGGTCGTTCGAATTAAGACTTTACGGGCTCCGATATGATATAACACTCGATCTCTTCTGCTGATTTTATGTAAATACAAGAAAAAAACACCCGAAGACAATGGTCAGAACAATAAGAGAGGTAAAAATATTGAAGAACATAGCAAACAGACAATTGGAAAAGACTCAATGAACGGAAAAATAACTAAATTTTTTTGGAAAAAATCTCAACTTACGAGTTTTAAAGAAAAAATAGCTGTCCTTCAAGCTCTTTGAATTTCTAGAACAGTTTAAGATTGATATTTGTTTGATTAAATAAACCAAATATGAAAAAAACTGGATCAATAGATAATTTTTTATTCCGCCGGGAGGTCTGAAAATTAAATTCCTTTTTCGAAACATGAAGTCAATCACGTTTTTTGTGACTTTTACACATTTGATGTTTGATAGTGGAGGTTGCCTTCCTTTCAACGGAGGAAATTAACTGAACTTGAAAAAAAAACGATAAGTCAAACTGTTAAAAAAGTAAATTTGAGCCTGAACAAACTTTACCACTTTTCCTGAAAAAAAAAAGGAAAAAGAATCAACGTTCATTAGCTCCTAATAACAACACATGAAAACTGTTTCAGCGAGACAAGTTGCTCGAGGAAAAAATAGTAACCACTTTGATTAACTTTCCAATAGCAAGTTTAAAAACCGATCCTGAACTTTCAATCACATTCGCTCGATAGTTTTTTATTTGTTTAACTCAGTTTCTATCAAATAAATCACACGAAAGGCAGTGAACCCTGAAAAAGTAAATTTTAGCCTGAACAAATTTTACGAATTTTCCTAAAAAACGGGGAAAAAATCATCAGCAACTATATAAGAGTCTGAACTACGTTCATTGGCTCTTAATAAAAGACGCATAAAACTGTTTCAGCAAGACAAGTTGCTCGGGGAAAAAATAGTAACCACTATGATAAACTTTCCAATAGAAAGTTTAAAATCCGATCCTGAATTTTCAATCACATTCGCTCGATAGTTTTCAATTTGTCTAATTCGGTTTCTAACCAATAAATTGACACGAAAGGCATTCTAAAACTCCTTACAAGTGTACTTTGAGCCCTGGGCAAGTTTTCCACCAAGCAGGTGAATCCCGCCAAAATGTCTCTTCCTTCATCTTCAGGAACAGATCGGGAAGTCTCTCCGCTCACAGACTCCGAAAAGGCACTCAGATAACTCATTCTACTTTGCATGCTTTCATCTTGGCCCCCTGAACACACAGAATTCGCCCTTTGTTGCCTAATAGTTGCTTCTTTCATTTCGTGCAGATATCTTAATTGACTATTCGACCGTTCCTCCAGACTTTCTGGCTCTCGCTTGACCCGACTTCCTCCCATAAATGGCACAGAAGACGCATCATCATATCCATACCGCGATCTGATAACATAATCTCTCGACATTTGAGACAAAGTATTGCGCATCTCTCGATTGTTCAATGGTGCCCGCATGAAGTCGTAACTTCTCGAGCTAGAATTACCTCTATTGTCGTTAAAAGAGTAGCCAGAATCAGGTGGCAAAGGCTGGGTAGAGAACTGAAACAATTTCCAATTATCTATCAACTAGACCATTGAATTTTAGGCAAGACGCCAATAATCAGACTCCCAACTAAATTTGACCGAGTGAAACACCTCACAGAGTTGAGAGTGAATACAACAGGCTTGGCAAGGCTATTGAACGCTGTTTAAACGGCGGAGTATATAAGAAAGGGTCTAAGTTAAGTCAGAGATTTTTGAGTTTGTGATCTAGGGTTAAAATCGGCTTCAGTAAATTTACTTACTACCGATGCGCCTTACGTACCGAACCTTCTTTAGAAAGGCTTTTCAACATAAACATCAAGTAAAAAGTATCAGAGAAAATTGACTTACACTCGCTAAAGCACTTCTGTCGTTTCTCGAAAACTCTCGTCCAAAAGAGTTGCGCGGTTCATTTTTGTTCATTTTGCAGCACGGCGATTGTGCTTGATTTTGAGCGTAAGCAGATTGACAACTTGCGCTTCTTGAAGCGCAACTGCTATCATTTCTCCTAATGTTATGCTGGTTCTGTTCTCTGAATTGCTCAGATTCGTTTAAATATGCAGGATTCTGCCGCTCCTTTTCGAGTGGAGAAAGACCTAGAAAAATCAGTTGAGCTGTCATCTTTTGCAATCCAAAAGGTATTAAAAATTGAATGAAGAAAGGAATGACATTTCAAGAGATCAAATGATCTCAATGAAGCCAAAGCTCAAACAATTTCAGGAGGTTAGCTTAATAAGTATAATTTTTCTCCAATTTTCACAGTTTATCAGGGCTCTCAGACTATTATTTAATCGCTGATCTAAGTTCAAATGAAATTACAATTTACTCGCGAATATAAAATCATCAGAAAATCTGAAGGCCGTTCATCTGCTGATTTTTACTCAATTTGACCTACCTTGCTCGAACAACGACAGCTTCAACTTTTAAACTGATACTGTGATTACGGGCAATTCTATTAACTTTTCTGTACCAGATAGCAATTTGAGAGGAAAGAGTATAGAAATTTAGAACAGAATGTGAAACACACACCATCAGTTTCCTCCCAACACGCGTATATAGGCACTCGTCGCACATTACGCCTAGGAGCAGCTAAGAGAAATGACAAAAGAGTGTATAACACTAATATCAATGTAAAATGATGCGCACTTTCCAAATTTTGTTTATTCTCTCCGAAGGCTCTATTAGAAATATCTTGGTAAAAGGTGAAATAGTTCTAAAAGAGGGCTTTGGACGTTCAGAGGATCGAATCCCTGAGGTGGCTCGCCTACCTTTTCCCAACCTAAGCCAGCCCCTGGTCTTTTTATTTCAAAACTTAAGATGTTAACACAGAGGTGAAGCGGAGCTTCGCATCACATGCGATACAACAAACGAGAAAAAATGCAAATACATGCGATACAACGCAATACAATGAATCCTTGAAACTACAATGAACAAGACTTGCACTTGCAAGTACAATGAAAATTGCTTGCAGCACAAGAAAAATCCGTGATGTGGCAGCGAAGCCCACAATCTTTAAGCAGACACCAGTTGAGCCAAAAAACTTATTTTAGTTAAAAGATTTTAAAGTATTTAAAAAAATTCAAAGTTCCCCCTGAGAATACATTGAATAAAACTTGCAATGACAATGAGGGTTGCTTGCAGCATAAGCAAAATCCGTGACGTGGTAACTAAGCCGACAAAACTTATACGAAAGTCCGACAATTCAATTTTTACCGGAAAAACTTCAATTGCATACAGACTGAAAAAAACCATGGTCCGGCCGGGTCTCAAACGCCCGAACTTCGGGTGCAAAGGCGACGGCGTAACCTCTAGACCACGTAGGAAAGCTCATGGAAATTGTTAAGCTTCAATAATAAAGCAAGTTTAAAAAGCAAAATTTGTAAGGAAATTTGTTAACGGGAAAAAAGCCTAGTTCCCGATTGCAAGACACTTGCTCTGGCAAATTTAATTAAATTCCACTTTCGAAAAGATGATCTCTGCACAGAACTCGAACTTGTCTATTTTTTTTAGAAGAAGCTATGTGTCTGGTTCTATTGTTTCAAGCCATTTTAAAGTCACTAAAGAAAGCTTGTAGGGCAATGTTTGTAGTTTAATAAATATTCTGTCGTGATTTCAGAAAAGCTCTTCATCGTCGAGGAAAATTGGTCGGACGATTTTAGTTTTTCAGACTTATCAAAAGAACTTCTTATTACTCATTCTTATTAAGATAGCCGGTTGCTGTGCAAGCATCACAGAATGTTCCCACCACGGTTATAATTGCAAAGAAAAACATAGCCAACAGACAGCTGGAAGAAGTTAATGAGTTCAACTAAACTTAAAAAAATTTCAGCTTTCGAAATTCGAAAAAAATGCATGATATTAAAGCTCTTTCTATTTCGAGAACAACTTATGATTGGCACTTTCTTGATAAAAATCAACCCAATGAAAGAAAACTGGATCAATCAAACAAATTTTATTTCGCTGGGAAATCTGAAAAAGAAAATCCACTTTCGAAACTAAAAATCGATTACATTTTTCGTGGCCTTCACATTTTTGCTGTTCGATAGTGGATTTTGCCTTCCTTTCAACAAAGAAAATGAGCTAAGATTAAAAAGATCAAAAGTCAAACCGCAACAAAATAAATTAGAGCCTGAAAAAATTTTAAGACTTTTCCTTAAAAGAAAAATCATCCCGACCTAAATAAGAATCTAAACTACGTTCAGCGACTCTTAAGCATTGTATCAATAAAATAAACATTTATTCCGCTGGGAAGTCTGAAAAATAAAATCTACTTTGTTATACTAATGTGTGATGACCATAGTTGTTTCTCTACTAAAATAAAAGAGACGGGCGAAAATTTATGAGAAAATGAAATTTTCCCGAAGACATAACATTTTTCGTTTGAAAATTAAAAAGACGCCGCTTCTACAGGAAAGATTATGGCAGCCGGTTCATTCGATAGAACCCCGGGGTATTTTATAAGAAAAGTTAAGAAGTTTCTAAAAAACGGTAAAAAGTTCAAATTTGACTTTCCAAAAACATTTTTTTTTCTGCAAAAAGAAGGTAGTAGCTGCGTTAGCAGAGAAGACTTCTGAACCCCAATTTCTCGATTGACCAAATAAATTTAAGAATTGGCAGGGTAGTTTTCGTTTTCGAGAAAAGTCAAAAAATTTCAAAAAAGGTCAATGAATAAAAAATTTTACTGTTCCGAGAATCATAGCTTTAATTGTGAAAAACTTTGGGTGTAGCCGCTTATACAAAGACATTCACCAACCTGTTATTTCAATTGAACGCAAAAACTCAGATTGCAGAGGGTAGTTTTCGATTAAAAAAAATCAATTACTTTCAAAAAACGGTAAAATTTTTTTGTCTATTCCGAGGGCCCTAATTTCGTGTTAGAAAAAATTGGGCTCAGTTGATTATGCATGGACGCTTTCCACATCAGGTTGTTTCGATTGAAACCAAAAAAATCAGATTTGGGAGTAGTTTTTGAGAAGCAAAAAAAATTCAAAAACGGTCGTAAAATCAAAAAATTTTGACTTATTCAAGGTCCATAACTTTTTGTATAAAAAATTTGGTCGTATCCAAATATTGAGAGAATTTTCCCAAAGCGTTTTTTCCCAAAGGTTGAACCAAATATTTCAGAATTGGGCGGGTACTTTTCGAGAAAGGTCAAAAAGGATCAAAAATGGTCAAAAATCAAATATTTGTTCAGTCCGAGGTCCCTAAATTTTGATCATGTAGGGGCACTTCCCACGACCAGTTGTTTTAATTGAATCTTAAAAACTCACGTTCTATTCAAAATTATCATAAGACAAGCAATTTAAAAAATATATATGTAAAAAAAATTTAATACAAACATTGCACCCAGAATTTAAGCATGTCAGCAGGCATGAGCATGATACAAGATCATATTAGCAATTGATTCAACTGAAACTAGTTGTTAACCCGAAAAGTCGAAATTCCGAATTGATAACGCTGGCTAATAAGTCTTTTCAGTACGTTCGTTGACACTTAGGCAAACTGAGAGAACCTATTCAGGGTGGCCACAGTGTCTGAGAAATGGCAGGCACTGATGAAAATAAATGCCAGGAACTGACATCTTTTTTTTTGAAAAAGTAGCCTTTTTTTACTCCACTTTTCTTCATTGGTGCAATTTTTTTAATTTATTTATAATAATTATATAATTATTTATTCTCAAAGCTGCTCATAATACCTGAAAAAAACGTATACTGTGTAAGCCTGCTTAATTTTTGATTTTGAACGATTCAGTAAAGCGCGATGAAAAAAACTGGCACTGATAATCATTTGCTGGCACAGACGGATCACGCTTCGCACTGATGTAGCACTAACCGCACTGATACCATGGCCACCCTGCTATTGTTCACAGAAGGATATAGGATTTTTTAAAGAGAAGGGGCGGATTTCAAAATTAATTTAGATTGCCCGAACTTCGTTTCCGAGCTCAATGCCTAAAAAATCAATTGAGCAATAAAAAATTAACTCACCGCACGCATTATTGAAAAAATAGACAAAAATACCCCCCACCCACCCCACCCCCCCCCCCCCCCCAAAAAAAAATTAAAAAAATCCCTATTGTTACTAACATTGATTAGCAATCAATTGGCAATCGCGATTTGCATGTCCAGAGACGCTGTTGTGTTCGCTCAGTGCCAGTTGCTGTGCCTTCATCATGGCTTCTACTCTCTGCTGAGACTGTGGACTGGAACCGTACTCTTCTAAAACAATCACATACAGTCTACTTCTAGACAGGTAAATAAAAAGATAGCACCCCAAAAACAATTTCTTTAATGCAAGATGTTTTTCATAATGATTGTCAAAATGCTTGTCGAAATCTTTGGGTCAATTAATAATTATCCTACTTCGACCACAACCAAGTAATTTTTTCTCAAAATGCCCTTTTTATTGAAGAAATATTAATGATGTATGTCGAGATAGTTAACAGATGTGAAATTAGTTCGAAACCCCAACCTTACAAAACTTTTTTTTTGTGTTCGTGCGCAAAATTTTTCTGGTTATATTCCACAAAATTGTACACAGTATAATTTTGTGGAACATAACAAGGAAGGAAGGTTTTGCGTAAAAATCAAACGAGTTTTAGGTGTAGGGTTTTGAGCTAATTTCACACCATATAGCCGGTCAGCTATCTCGAATTAAATCTTTAACATGTTTCAAAATGAAAGCGCGTTTTGAAAAAAAATAGTAGTGGTCAAAAACGGATAAGTATTAATTAACCCCCAAAGATTCTGACAAGCGTTGTCTTTAAATGATTCATCCAGTCTCCAATAAGCCCTAATTTGAAGGAAGAGGCAATAGATTATAAATCAGAATAGATCTAGAAAAACAACAGAGAAAGATAGTGAAAAGAGCGACCCGTGGATTCATTCCTTACGTTTGACAGTCAGTGAAGACTTCAGTTCTTGTGCTATAGGTATAGAAAAAAAATTACAAATTGAATTAGAAAAAAAAGAAACTGCGGGATCCGAGACAAACAGCCTTCAAAATTGGTTGAATTTTTCACATTATTATGCCATCTTAAGTTGGACTTAAAACTAAAATCACCATGTCCACAGAGTCTCATTGATTAAATTTTAGGTTGATTGTTTGCAAATGTAGCACTGCAACTGATTGGAGTAGGAACTTGTTTCGGAAGACATCAACTTTATCTGCCCTTCCAGAGAAAGAATTACTTGAAACACCAAATTCTTGTCTGTAAACTTGTCTCTAAGACTTCATGTCAAAATGAAGCCTCTGGAAAGTTCCATTTGAAAACCCATTTGCTTGAAAGCAGTCCTGAGAAAAAAAGAAACTAATTCACTTGAAAATGGACGAAATGGTTCATTGCTTGTTCCGACCATACCCCATTCATTCGTTCATTGTCAAGTGAAAGCTATGGTTTAAATTCCGGCAACGTATTTCTCTAGAATAAAGGATGACAAGATCACTCGCGGTCTGATTTTAAAAAATAAGCACAGAGGCAATGCTGCAAAATGAAACGAAAAATTAAAAACGAAAAACCCAGAAATTAAAAAACTTTTTAAAAATATAAATCAGCAAAAAACTTAGGCAAGCAGATAATGGAAATTTTATTTAGCCGAAGTTGACTGCAAAGCATCTTCGTCAATAGTAGACGAGCAAGTAAAACATTTGTAACCTGCACAGTATAATGAAAAAAAAACAAAGCCCAATATTTTCTGATTTTTATTCAAATCTGGCTAAGATATATTACACCACGGAAAATTCATTTTTAGCGTCATCTGTTAAATTTACCAGCTACATTTTGAAAACAGTTGTGAGCAAAACTTACAAAATGCCTGGAGAGGTTATCAAAAAGCATTTCAGCTCATCAAGTGGTAACCCTGAAAAAGGTTAATGAAGAGAAGATTAAATATAATGGGGTGAGAAATTTTCAAAACGGCAAATTGTGAATACCCTCTTTGTCACCAATTAGGGAAATTTTCAATGTTTTTCTAGAGCTCAATATTACTATTACGACAAGCATTATTTGGTGGTGGTCTCATTGGCAAAAAAGAACAATTTTCGAATTATTGCACACATCAGGTATATCGTTGATATATAAAAGGAAAAGTAATGGCCCCAGCACAGAGCCTTAGGGCATACCAAGTCGGACTAGTTTAACATATGAAATTTCATTGCCATGCTCAACACTTTGATTTCGATTACTGAAAAAACTTTCAAAAATTTTGTTACCTTTTCCGAGAAGTCCTTAGCAGTGTAACTTCTCAATAGAAAGCTGTGATCAATTTTGTCAAATGCTTTCTTATGGTCAATGAAACAGGCGTTTCCAAAATACATTTTATTTTTAGAAACTCTCATAAACACTGAAACGAATCAAAGCATAAACATATGATTCTTTTGGTTGGAACCTAAATTGCACCCTTTTGAAATGTTATATATTTTTAATGAACGTCATTAGTTGTTTGTATAAAAATTTTTGAAACAGCTCAGTAGGCTTATGGGTCTATAATTGTTGGGATCAGAAAGTTCACCACATTTATAAAAACTCATGAACTTCGCCAGATTAAGACTATCCATCCGTAAAACGCCTTCACCTAAACAAGAGGCTGAAATATTCAGAGGCTGAAATATTACGGGCCGTAATTTCTGAAGAAAATTGTTACTAATGCCATCATGGCCACGAACATTTTTACTTGAATTCTTTTTGATGAAAGCGCATCTTCTTGTACATTTATTAAAACAATCTGTAAGTATTAACAGTTAACAAGAGAAAAGTGCATGTGAGTGGAAACTCTTTATTGTTTTTTTTCTAACATTGGACAAAAATTGATCAACAAAATTGTTCTCAAGAAGTTTCATAAGGAGGAAAATTAAACACACTAGTTTTTTGCCTTTTCCTCCATATGAAAGTTCTGGTGAACAAAATTGTTTCCATGTTAGAGAAAAACTACACTCTTGTTAACTGTTCATCCTTACAAAACTTAATAAATACCTCGAAAAAAACCTCTTTTTGTATTTTCGCAAATAATTTTGTTTTGTTTCTAGACTATTTATACTTTTCATGATCTATAAACGACCCAAACTCAACCCAACGCATCAATTTTCTTTTCTATCCCGCATTTTGATATGATTTTTAAACATTTTATCAAACCAATGATTTGTTTTTTTTTCGTGGTTTTCTTAAGGCAATTAAATTATTTATTGAAATTTCAAAAAATAACAATTTTTCATTTGCGTTTTTGTGCATATGCTGTATTTCATGATTAACCAAGAACCCAAATTTTGCAAAAAAAAATGAGTCATTCTCTTTAGCTCATTTTTGATTCCCCATGAAATTAATTCATAATGATCACTCATGGTGGAATGTTAAATACAAGTAAGCAGTGATCTATACAGGACTCTATTGTAAAGGTTTTAGGAATTGATACTAACAAAAAATAATCTTATCAGGTTCGTATATTCAATTTTCTGGGTTTTAAAATGTCAATATTAAAGTCTCCGCAAATTGAAGATTTCCCTTGTAAACGATTATAGATTTCCAATCAATCTTCAATTTGCGAAAAAAAACAACCAAAATTTTCAGTTGATGCTTTGTAGACAACTGTCAAATTGTACTTTACTTTGTTATAAAGAGAGAGACTGATTGTCATTGCCTCCAATTCAGTTGAAATAGACTCGACTGCCAAGACACGACAAGAGCCCAGACAAAACCTAACCTTTCAAGGACAAAGGACATTTAAACAAGAAAAAAGATCGATTCCTGAGCTAAAAATGACTTAAATTTTCCACCCTCAGAAACAAATTGAAATTTGATAATAAATTTGATTATTAACACTTGAATTAAATTACCTGCATCAAAAACTACACCCTAAAATGATATCATCGCAAGTAAAACTCCTGATCCCGACCATAAATTACAAACATAGCCAACAGGCAGCTGTAAAAAAGTCAATCAACGCAAGTAACTTGTTTTTTTTTTCAAAAAACCTCAAATTTCGAACATTAAAGAAAAAAAGATGCCCTTAAAGCTCTTTGAATTTCTTGAACAATTAATGTTTAAAACTTTTCTGATTAATCAGCCCAATTTGAGAAAACTGGATCAATAGGCAACTTTTTATTCCGCTGGGAAATCTGAAAATAAATTCGACTTTCGGAACTAGAAGTCGATCACATTTATTTCACCTTTACACTTGTGCTGATCAATCGTAGAGCTTGCCCTCCTTTTAGAAATGGCAATGAACTAAATTTAAAAAGAAATTGTAAGTCAAACCGCGAAAAAGTTAATTTGCGCCTGAACAAATTTAAGGACTTTTCCTGAAAAAAAAAAAACGAAAAAAACATCAGCACTTATATAAGAGTTTAAACTGCGTTCATCATTTCTTATAAAAATAGGGTTGGTATGAAATGACAAAACGTTGATTTTTAAATTTCGAAACCCACGTAGAATTTTAATCAATCCCAAAAAACCCGAAATTAAAAGGGAAAATACAAGCCGATATAATTAAAGACGACATCCAACAAGCCGGGAATTTACCAAAAATATATCGCAGATTTTGCTCACCGGGGAAATGAAAATAACATATGTGCCACCCATGCAGCACCTACAAGCGCAGCATAATTAACTTCAACAATTCTTATTTTAAGTAAAAAAAACTAGTACCCGTTTGCACGCATGGGTAACCATAAGAGCTAGTACAACCAATTTTTTTCATCACCGAACTTAATTTCATCCACTTGATCGTAACTTGCTTTTTGATAACAGATAAACTTTTTGATTTAACCCAGACTGTCAATTGGAACTTTTTTTGGTGGTGCCGGACATCCAGCCGACGGGACTTCAAGCCGAATTGTAAAATAAGGGACTTCAAGCCGAATAGTTCCTTGAAATAGGAATAGTTTGAAAACAGTCCTTGAAATAGTCGTGAAATAGGAATAATTTGAAAACATTTTTTGAAGAATTTCTGAATTTTATGATCTTTCTTCACTACTTATTGGCGTTTGCATATAATTTAAGCATCCAAATGATGTTTCGGAAAGTTGGAAAGTAAAACATGGTTGAAGTCATTTTTCATGTTTATAATTTATGCATTTCAAAAACAGGCTGATATTTTTAACGGATGCCGATCACAAGTGGGGCATTGTCATGAATAACGCTTATTATTGAATAAACTTGCCAAAAATTTTGAAAAGCAACGTTTTACAGATGATAAAATAGCGTTTTGAGGTGCTTATAAAGTTATAATTTCGGCTTCAAGTCCCTTCGGCGTGAATTCCCGTCGGCTTGTTGTCCTAGACCCCCTTTTTTGGCCTCTAATCAATATAGTAGCAACTCAACCAAAAACAAAGAACCAACTTTTACAAACAAAAAACATTTTTTTTAAAAATAAATTGAACAAAAATGCATGAAATGAATTACATGCACCAAAAATTTATCAGCCCAACAACAGTTGGAAAAGAGTAATAAACGCATGCAGGAAAACAAAAAAATACTAATTTGTTTTTGAAAGCTTTCGAACTTTAAAGAAAAAAATATGCCCTGAACGGTCTTTGAATTTCAAGAAGAATTTATGATTGGCCCTTTTTTGATATTTGAACCCAATTTAAGAAAACTTGATCAATAGGTAAACTTTGAGCTGCAAAATCTCAACATTCAAATCCAATTTCGAAATCATAAATTCGAACTGAAGTTATTTTATAACTACAATCTACTGTCGAAACTAAAACTTGGTCACTTTTTTGCGTTATGAAGAGCATACTGCGTTTTTTATCGTTGGAAATTGAATTGAGAAAAAAAGAGAATGAACCAAAATTCACCAAAAGACTTCATGAGAGGAGAAAACAGCTTATCAAGTTATAGCTCCAACTTTGAACTATTAATTCTATTCTGAGATTTTTAACATTTTCTGCAATCCGGAGGAAACTATACAAATTATGGTTCCCTCGAACGACCCAAAATTAGGTTAGTAAGCCGATAAAATATAAGCCGAAATCATTTAGGCCGAAAATTGTTTTATACAAAAAAAATTAAAGGAAATACGAATCAAGGCTAGCAGAATTACAAATTGCAGGAGTAAATGAAAACAAAAAAGCAACTACAATAAAAACTGTACACAGCAAAAAATTCTAAGAGACTGCAACTAAGCCGACAGAACATAATCAGACAAACAATAAGCCGACATTTTTTTTTAAACTAATATTTCCCCGTTTGAAAAAAAAAACGGTCCTCGTCAGGCTCGAACTCTTAACCTTTGCCGTCCTAAGCGTATTCGATACCTTTAGGATGAGTGTGCCGGAGACGCTAAAAAATTTGAATTAATTATGAACTAAGAGATTCTGTAGAGCAAGTTGTTTAGCCCGAAAAAGTCTATATTCCGATTTGATAACGCTTGTTACTCGCAAACGTAATTTTTTTTGAAAAAATTCAATTCGCTTGAGGAAAAGAGCTAACCTCCTGGGTTAACGGTGTCCGTGATAATACTACTAATAGCGTAAGGTGGGTTTTTCTTCTACCCGATTTCTACTAGTTCAAATGAAAAGAAAGCTACCAGTGGTCAAGCGTAGTTTCATATTACAGCTCCTTCAGTCATGATTCGGATTTTTGAAAAAATATTTGAAAAGGCTCGCGAAAAAAAAATAAAAAAACTTAACTACTCACCGAGTATTCGATTTGCTTGGTCGACTTTCTTTGGTTTCTTCGGTGACCAGCTAGTTTGACTCACAGGCCCTTTAAGTGATTTGTCCTTCACCACAGTGGAAGACCAGATAAACTTGGCATCTTTCAGGGCCATCCCAGATTTCCTCGAAACCACAATTCAAAATTTAGAAATTAATTTGAAAATAAACATGTTTCTAAACTTCTATTTTCGGAATTTTTGAAATGAATCATAGTCCTCTCATCCGGCATTTCCGAGTCTTCTATCTGATTGAAACCAATTGTAATTTAATTCATCTTGTGATTACTTTGAAATTATGAGTGGTAGGATCAAGTTTATGCCCATTAGAAATCAACGCTGGACCATTTAAAGTGGAGCTCAATGATCACTCATCAAATCAATCACTCATCATCAAGTTTTTTTTCAATCAATTCAGCCATTCACTAACTCGCTGTTTGGCTTTCTCCTCCAAGACTTCGCATCAACATCTATCTCTGAGTCCTCAGAAGACTCACAAATGGGATCCTGGCTTTTCTCACGCTCTTCAATAGCACAAAGAGCCTCCTCAATTGCTGACCTCTCGGTGACTCCTTCAGCAGTGTTGGAAGACTTCGAAGCTCCAGATTCGACAATAGAATCATTGTTGCTATTCAACGAAGTATTCATATCTTCTTTCACAAAAAGATCAACCGAGTTTAGGAACTGATCTTCATCAGAGTTCTCGTCACCTTCACAGCGCTGACCATTGATAGCTTTTATCGGAGAAGAGGTAGTCTCCGCTAGACGTGAAATCTCATTTTCAACATCATCATCCAGATCCCATTCAGTGGGCGATGTAACAAGTTTGGGCAGCACACTTGCTTTCAGCGAACTCATTTAAAAACCTATAATTCTCTTTTTTTTTTTTTTTTTTTTCGGTAATCAGAAGGTCAAAAGTATCATAGTAACCGAGGTTACAGTCATGAGTCCCTTCATCATGTATTCCAGTCAAAATCCTTGGAATTTTCTAGATATGGAAGTGATAATGATAAAAGAAGATGTCAAGTGTTTAAGTCCTTTTCATTTAAAATCGATACGGGTTACGCTTCTTCAATAAGAACACGCAACTCGACACGAGATAATATAATATACAAGTGTTACAAGTAAAAAATTTCGTCGAAAGTTATTTTGTCATTTATTGTTCCGAGTACGCAAGCGGCGTTCGCAATCTGTATTGCCAGGGAGATTCTCTGTTTTAAAAAGCTGCCTGCTCTGGGTTCCTCAGTGCATATGCTTAGGTTCTTACAAAGCTTGCTCAAAAAAACTTCTTTGCTGGGGCCGGCCGCGCCCTGAATTTCAAAAGCTAGCGGTTGAAAAAGATATCCATCATTTACAAGATCTTTATATTTGTCAATTTTTCGCTCTTCCGCTTCAGCGGCAGCCGTACCAGGGTTACAAACAGACCCGGCATTAATCCTACAAGGGGCTAAGGAGTCTACTACCGTTACATCCCACAAGAGCTGCTTACCATCAGCCCATGGAACGAGCGTCAAACCGTCTGGTCGCTTCTGATCGGTCCTGTAGAGGTGTCGTGGTTCTAAAACAGACGGAATGTGAGTAGATGATAGACTCTGCTTTATAAGGGCATTCAGGTTTGAATGCCTAGAGAATCTCCCTGCACTTTTGAGGCAAGAAAGACCATGCCAACCATCCTCGGTAACGTCTTTTCCGCACACGCATTTATGCCGTTCGCATATTTTTGATCCTAATCGAAGTCCTATCGCAATTCTGAGTTGTTGGTTCGACAGTTTTAACCTTAAATTTTTGCAGGGGATGACGTTCAACCATTGGGATCCAAATCTATCTTGGAACGCGTTGAACCTTTTCACGTCCGTTGGTTCGAGTCGTAAAATCAAGTCTGCAATTTCGCTGTCAAAAATTGGCTCCGTCCAATTTTTTTGGATTTCATTTTCCGGAGCCATTTCAATTTTTCCAAGGTCAAACCACCGTTTAAGCGCATCATCATAGGTTCCATCCACATGCTCCAAACCAAAGATTTCGCTCAAGGCATCTTTCGCTCCTACTGTTGAGGCTAAGAAAGCGGGTAAAGCGAGTAGACGAGCGGAAGAAACGCCCAAGCCACCTTTGGCTGCCGGGAGATTCTTGAAACAATAAGTTTAAAATGAACTTTTCTCATAGCATTTAGAACTAACGCAATCAGACTAGCAGGTCAAGGTGTGTGCCAGTCGGTCATATTTAGAAGTTTGAGAATGCGTTAAAATTGTAAATTCAAACAAACGTTTTCGCACATTTTTGTGCATCTCCAGGTTTTAAAAAATCTAAACTATCTGTACAAAATGATCAAAGATTATAAAAATTGTCATACGCATCATTATATCAAAATTAAAAAAAAAATCAACCAATCAAAAATTACTGAAATTATGTAACAACTATTATGTAACAATTTTAAACATTTTGTCACAAATTTCTGAGTTTTCACCTTTTTTTCGGTTGCTATACTGCTTTTAGCCTAATTTTTGTGATAATTTATTAAATAGATTTGTTATGTTTGATGTTTGTGCCTGTTTGTGGGGCGCCCTCTGAGGGATTTTGGAGACAGGTCTGTCAAGTGGCTTTCTGTGGGGAGGTGGGAAACTGGAACTGGCTTGAGGAGTCTGGTGGTGCGCCGCTGGACCTGCTGAGCTCGGGTAAGATTGTTCCTTGTTTTTGATTTTTATAATTCGATTTTAAAATTTATATTAATTAAATTGTCTTTTTTTTTTTTTATTTGATGATTTGTAAAATTCCCACTAACCGCTTATCATTGGTTAGTTCAGTCCCCTAAATTCCATTCAAAATCCTTTTTTTACCTTTATGCTGCGTCAAGATGAGGAAAAGCAACAAAGAGTGTACAAGCAAAGACTTCTTAAAACCTTCAGGACTGATAAATTGGATTAGATGTGATTGTTGTTCTAGTTGGTATCATATCAGTTGTGTAAATATTTCTCTAAGCGACTCTAAGAAAACCCAATGGTTTCAGTGTCCTTTATGCGTTGATTTGAAATCTGTTAATACAGCAACAATAGGTAATGATTTAGTGCAAGACAATTATGTTAATACAGCCATCTCAAATGTCCGAGTACTCAAGAGAGTACCAAAAGACTCGCGTGTTACCTTGGCGGAAAGTCTGTCGGACAAAATAAATGACATCGTCTACAATGTAGAAGATGTTACAAAATGGCCAATTTTTTTAACGTCGTTCTTGTTTTTTTTGGAGCAACTGAAAAAAAGTGGACGCAAACAGACTACAAGCATGAGCTCTTTGATAAATAAAAAAATTCGAGCAAATGACGTGTCACTCCCAAACCCCATCCCCAAAATTCAAGCCCGCCTCTGAGTGACCTCGAGCAGAGAAAAAAGTTAATAAGTAGTAAGCTCGATGAAGGAAATGTAAAGGGAGGAATGAGGCTTGCTGCTTCGGATGACAAAATTTCTCCTTTTTCAACTGATAACTATCAAAAATTATTGTCTAAGCACCCTCAGCGAGCCAAATTTGCAGCTCCAAATCCAGAAAAGTTGGATAGTTTTTTTCGTATCCGATTTCGACCTATACAAAGCGATAATGTCCTTTTCGAACGGATCAGCAGCAGGTTCTGATAAAATAATTCCTCAAAATTTTAAAGATCCTGTTAGTAAGTCGAATGGCAGTGCAGGATTTAATTTTCTGAAATCGCTTACTAAGCTGATAAACCTAATTGAGATGGCAAAATACCCGAACCACTAAGACCTTTTCTTTTTCGGCGCAAAGCTTATCGCCCTCATAAAGATAGACGGAGGAATGAGACCGATTGCCATAGGCAACACGCTGAGACGTATCGCGTCTAAATGCGCTGGAAGCAAGGTCCTCTCCGAGCGACAAAATTTTTTCGAAAAGGTAAAGGTAGGATGCGGTACCAAACGAGGAGCAGAAATAGCTGCGCACTCGTTTCGAAACCTAATTGAACGCGACGACAATCCAAAATGCACTGTTCTTTTAAAACTAGATTTCAAGAATGCCTTTAACTCTCTAAACAGAGAAACAATGCTGAATCATGTTTATTCAAATCGCCCCGAATTGTATAATTACACCCATTGCGCGTATTGTAAACCTAGTTACCTTTTTTACGGAAGCTCTGTCATAATGTCAGAAGACGGAACTCAGCAAGGTGATCCTGAAGCCCCACCCCTTTTTGCGGAAACAATTCATACACTAGTCAAACTGTTGGAGTCGAAAATTAACATCTGGTATTTAGATGATGGGAATTTAGCCGACGACTATAAAGTAGTACTCCGGGACCTTAAAAACATTCTGAAATCGGAACAAATTTACGGCCTGAGCTTGAACACTGAGAAGTGCGAACTTTGTTTTTGGGACCGACTACTAGTACACAGTATAATTTAATTTTAACACAATTTCGAAAAATATGCCCCAAAATAAAAATAAAAACAAAAGAAGAACTCATCATTTTAGGATCTCCAATCGGCTAACTTTGCCAAAAAGAATTGCTCGACGAAAAAATTAAGGAGCTTGAAAAAATCTCGGATGTCATTGACAAACTAGACGCCCATTATGGTTTTACCTCCTGAAAAGTTGCTTTAGCATGCCAAAACTCCTATATTTTTTGCGTACGAGCCCTTGTTTTTTGCAAAATGATTTTTTAGAACGCTACGATAAATTACTAAGAAATTCGTTATGCAAGGTTTTTAACGTGAAAATGGATGATAACTAGTTTTTACAATCAGTTCTCCCGGCAGTCAAAGGTGTCTTGGGCGTTTCTTCCGCTCGTCTACTCGCTTTACCCGCTTTCTTAGCCTCAGCAGTAGGAGCGAAAGATGCCTTGAGCGAAATCTTTGGTTTGGAGCATGTGGATGGAACCTATGATGATGCGCTTAAACGGTGGTTTGAACTTGGAAAAATTAAAATGGCTCCAGAAACTGTAATCCAAAAAAATTGGACGGAGCCATTTTTTGACAGCGAAATTGCAGACTTGATTTTACGACTCGAACCAACGGACGTAAAAAGATTCAACGCGTTCCAAGATAGATTTGGCTCCCAATGGTTGAACGTCATCCCGTGCAAAAATTTAAGGTTAAAACTGTCAAACCAACAACTCAGAATTGAGATAGGACTTCGATTAGGATCAAAAATATGCGAACGGCATAAATGCGTGTGCGGGAAAGACGTTAACGAGGATGGTTGGCATGGTCTTTCTTGTCTCAAAAGTTCAGGGAGATTCTCTAGGCATTCAAAACTGAATGCCTTTATAAAGCAGAGTTTATCATCTACTCACATTTCGTCTGTTTTAGAACCACGACACCTCTACAGGACCGATCAAAAGCGACCAGACGGTTTCACGCTCGATCCATGGGCTCTTAGTAAGCAGCTCTTGTGTGATGTAACGGTAGTAGACTCCTTAGCTCCTTGTAGGATTAATGCCGAGTCTGTTTGTAACCCTGGTACGGCTGCCGCTGAAGAGGAAGAGCAAAAAATTGACCAGTATAAAGATCTTGTAAATGATGGATATCTTTTTCAACCGCTAGCTTTTGAAATTCAGGGCGCGACCGGCCCCAGCACAGAAATTTTTTCGAGCAAGTTTTGTAAGAACCTAAGCATATGCACTGAGGAGCCCAGAGCAGGCAGATTTTTAAAACAAAGAATCTCCCTGGCAATACAGATTGCGAACGGTGCTTGCGTACTCGGAACAATAAATGACAAAATAACTTTCGACGAATATTTTTTATTTGTAACACTTATATATTATATTATCTCGTGTCGAATTGCGTGTTCTTATTGAAGAAACGTAACCCGTATCAATTTTAATTGAAAAGTACTTAAACACTTGTCATCTTCTTCTTTCATTATCACTTCCATATCTAGCAAATTCTAAGGTTTTTGACTGGAATACGTGATCAAGGGACTCCTGACTGTAACCTCGGTTACTATGATACTTCTGATTACATAAAAATTATTGTTTTTACTATTTCGTTTTGTCGCTAATTTTTATGCTTACACGTAAGTTATTCTAAATTTTTTTATATTAGCCAGAATTTTTCGATTCTGGAACTATAGCTTCAGTGTCGACTCTCTACTTCTAAACTCGTAGCGCGTGATAATTGCCGGTCTCTCTTTCCTAATGTGCAGCGCCTCTAATGAAAGTAACTTGATGCTGCTGGACGCCTGGTCGATTATCTTCCATTTAAACTCCCTGGCCAACACAGATGGATTTGCACGCACAACATTCAAGTCCGTACACCATTTTTGATTTCAGTTCACTGGAAAAGGAGGATTTTAGAGAGGGCATACAAGTTTTCATTTTCCTCGTCGTGAATATTATCTGCATATTAGTGATATCGTGCACTTTTTTTTGCTAATGTCTGACTGTGATTCCCCCGATATTGGACTATCAAGATAATGAATCACTGCTATAACCACAGGGCTTCTTTTTCTCAGCCAGGGTCTTTTTGTTTTTGCCCTCCCTGATGATCTTTTCAAGGGCATGCGATGCAACCCACGAAGATCAACTTTCCGGATATTGGTTAACCAACTACTGTACACGGTTGATTTTCATTGCTTTATCATATTCTTCCCATTTGGACATACTGCGGAAAACCCGGTGAACAGTTCCTTCAATCAAACTTCTCTTGTACTGAAGGGGTCGCAGCTTCTAAAATTTAGAATGGTACCTGTGTCTGTTGGTTTTTGATACACCCACAGTTAATTTTCCTGCTTTTGTCAATACTATTTTATGAATCCAAAAGTTCCAAATTCCCGTTTGTGTTTGGTGTCTCTATTGTGAACTGTAAATATGGATGTAGTAATTTTGCACTTTTTCAGGATCACCCTTCACTGTTCTCACTATATCGTCAACGTAACGGAGAAATAACTTAGTTTGCTGCACTGACTTATTTTTCTCTCTTCAAACAGCCTTCACATTCTACACCTTTTGACCTGTACGTGACTTTTTTATTGCACTCGGGACAAATTCCGTTGAGATCTTTTTCGAGCAAAAACATTTCGAGAAT